GAAAGAAAGAAAGAAAGAAAGAAAGAAAGAAAGAAAGAAAGAAAGAAGAAAAGGGGAAAAGAATGTTAAAGAAAAAGGGAGAGCAGGGAAAAAAATCTGTGAGAAAAAGTCTCATTTTGTTTCAGAACTTTAAATTATACAATGCAATAAGAATATGATAACATGAGGTGTGTGTTCTGTTTTGAGGGGTGGGTTTAAGACAGGGTCTCTTGCAGTCCAGGCTGGCCTCAGGTTCACCAAGCAGCTGAGGGTGATCTTGAACTTCTGGCCCTCCTCTTTTTGTCTCCCAAGGGCTGAGATTTCCACCAAGACTGCATCCTTAAATGACAAATGTTTTACAAAGAACAGTAGAGAAGAAATTATTGTCCTATGACCAATGCAACTAAAAAAAAAAAAAATCTTACCAACAGTGTCATGGATCTGTTAGGTCCATGTTAACAATAGGAGAGCCTAGTAGACTGTACGTGTGTGTGTATGTATAATCTTGAAACAGATGTGACTTTTCTGAAAAGAATAATATCAGTTAAGCAGAAAAAAATGTTTTGCTTTGTTGTCGTAAAAGTAGAATATATACACTATAGGGGAAAAAATAATAATTGTTTAAAAATGGAATAAAAGTTACATTTAAGGTTCCCAGTTGCCTTTCTAATCTGTGGGCTTCTGAATGACATATATATTTGATCAGTCAGTATTGAATATTTCTTTGAGTATTTGTACGTGCATATTTTCGTGATTTATTTCTTAAAATTATGAGTCTATTTCCTGCCTGAAGTAATATTTGTTATTAATTTATCAGCTCTCTGTGTGTGTGTGGGGGGCAGAGGTCAATGTTTGCATTCGTCTTCAATGGCTTCTAATGCCTTCTACCTTCACTTTTGAGACAGAGTCTCTCACCGAGCCTGGAGTTCAGTGATTGGCTAGACTGGCTGGCCAACAAGCCTCAGGGGTCCCCCTACTTCTCCCTCCCCAGGGCTGGATTTACAGATTTGAGTTGCCATGCTGGGCCTTTTACTTGGGTGCTAGGTATCCAGCCTCTGGTGTTCATGTTTTCACGGCTAGCACCTCTCCAGCAGGGCCATCTGTTTGCCCAGCTCAAGCAGTCTCCATATACTGAGCCGTTTAGTTCATTATCCATGTGGTGTATCCCTTAGCTGGAAACTGTGTCCTTTCTGTTTTGTGTTTGCACAGTGCTGGGCTAGAACCCTGGGCCTCACATGTGCTAAACATGGATTCTTCCATTGGGCTACACAAACCTGAGAGAGGGGGAGAGAGAGAGAGAGACAGACAGACAGACAGACAGACAAGCAGGGACAGGCAGGCAGACGGAGGTAGACAGCGACAGACAGAGAAGGACAGACAGAGACAGAGACCTCCTCTAGTAATGCAGAGAAGTAGGGTTCTCTCTGGTGGAGCAGTGTTCTGGCTGCAGTGTTGAGGGGACCCACAGTTACTGATGCTCAGTGAACATCGCATCTGTTATAATACATACTTACATTTCCTACAACCGTGATCAACTAACGACTTGACTGTCTTAGGTGCTTTCTCATTTTTTGTGATAAATACCTCAAGCAAAGCAACGTCCAGGAGAAAGGGTTTATCTTGACTGACGCTTCCCAAGAAGACAGAGTACATCATGGTGGTGACTGCCTGAAAGCAGGGCTGTGAGGCCATCCTATCCTCCAGCAACAGTTTGGAAGCAAAGGAAACGGGAGGTGGGCCAGGCTGTAAACCCCAAAGCCTGGTCCCAGCAACGTCTTTCCTGTAGTGAGGCTCCACCTCCTGACTGTTTCAGAATCCCAAACCACGCCACCAGATGGGGACCAAGTTTTCACACGCAGAGGCTGTAGGAACATTTCGTACTCAAGCTACTACGTCAACAAAAAACAAGGGTGGAAAGACTCATTTGGGCCACATTAAGAGGTGGTGTAGTCTACCATGGCTCTAAACTGTATCTATGGACTGTCAGAAGCGAGGGTGCCCAGCTGGCTCCCACCTTCCCCCCTTTCCTGAGTGTGATACCCCAGTGCACTTGGGATGTTTAGCTAGTCCTCTCTGCAAGTGTCCTTAATGACATACCCGGAGTTGTGTCTCCCAGGTCATTTTACATCCAGTCACATAGACAAGGATTGACCATTAACAATCCACAGGACTGCAGAGCCAGTCTCTGCTTTCTGTTTGAGCTGCTGCAGCCGTGCATAATACAAGCAGGCCTTTGGGCCAGGCGGTGAACACTGTCCTGTCATAGGGTTCTCCCCCCCCCCCCCAACAATTAGCGCAACATACAGTGGAGCAGTTTGGAGTTGTTGAGAGAAAAAGTTGGCCTCGTGGCTGTGAGGGAACGAACAAGATCTTGACAAATGGCTGCTGCTGTGCAGCGAGGGTAGATTTATGTTTAGACCAGAGCAAACTATGCATCCAGGTAATAATTTTGAGCAATGAAGTAAGTTTGCTACAAGAATCGTTAAAGAAACAGATAAATCACAGTAATTTCAACATGGCACTTTTGCCATTCAATAAATGGGTATTTTAAATTTCATTTGCTTTTGAACTAAGTTCAATAATTTATAGAGTAAGTCACTCGAAGATTAATGCTCAGGAGGGGAGAAAATCACCACACAAGAACAGAAACACATCATTTATGTATATTACATCGGAGCCTTCCCTGCCTGTTTCCATTATAAATCCGATCTTGTAACACTGTATTATAAAAAGTTTGCCAGGGGCTAAAGTTTGACATTTGTCTCAACCTCCCGAGACTATTTTTTTTTCCTTTTTCAACTAATATAACAGCTAGTTATGGGTTGCTTTTTTTTCCTTTTTCAGGTGTGTGTGTGTGTGTGTGTGTGTGATGTGTGGTGTGTGTGTGTGTGGTGTGTGTGTGTGTGTGTGTGTGGTGTGTGCCCACACATGTAGCTATGAGGGTCACATGTTGACACTGAGTGTCGTCCTCTAGACCCACTGAACCTGAGAGTCAGCGGGTAGTTGTGCTTGTGTTCTCAAGTAAAGCTTCTTTAGTGGAACAATCTATTAAATTTTTATGTTTGTGTGTGCGCATGTGTGCCCGTTCAGACAGCACCCGGGAGATCAGGGGACAACCTGAGGGCGCTGGTTCTCTTCGTCTACCATGTAGGTCCCAGGGATTGGGCTCAGGTTCTTAGACTTGGCAGTCAGTGCTCTTACCTACTGAGCCATCTCACTGGCCCTAAAGCACTTTTCAGATATACCACGGTTAGCTACTGACCTCCCCGCCTAATCCCACATACTAGAGAGAGCATGTGGCATCCTGCTTTTTCCTCATGTCCCACAAAGCAAGCCGTGGAGCCTGGCTTCTCCACCTCCTTCCTGTGGTCCTCGTGGAGGAGGAGAAGTTGGCCCTGGGCTGAGCTGGTGGGAGCTTGGTGTTCTTCCTTTCTGTCTTTGGGGCAGCACAGTGGGTTTGCCCCTCCTTCCTTTCCAGCTGTAGAGTTCATTTGGCATGGGATTCTGGCAGCAGCGAGGGCCAGAGAAATGTGAATTTCCACAAGAACTTGGAAGCAGCTGGAGAGAGGGACTGGGCATGGAAGCTATTTTTCCAGGACCTTATTTCTGCCCTCAGGTGGGTTTGGAGTCTGGTGTATAGCATACCAGGCTAGAACACGTTAGAACAAAATCTATACTTTTGATGTCAACACCTCATCTTTGCCCCATGTGCTGTTGATGTAACTGGACAGCACATGTATTCACCTAGACAGGAAGGCAGAAATACATATGTGCATATCTGTTGGGTTTGTTTGTTTGTTCGTTTGTTCGTTTGTTTTGGTTTGTCCTGAGCTGTGTATATTTGTGAACAGTATTTTTGCTTACAAAAATGCACTTGAGACTTGAAAGCTGTCTATGAATTGTTTCCAGTGCTAAACTACCTGGCCTCCAGATCGGTCTGCAGGTACCAGGAATGCTGTCTGTATCAGGGATCTACACAGGACCCGTTGGACTCTGAACACGGTTCTGACATGTTAGAAACACTGCTTTGTGAAAATTGTGTGTCAGGTTTGCTCCAGAAATAGAAATATTGTGGACAAGTGGCAAGAATAAAATCCAGGAGGAGGGGCTGGCAGGGTGGCTCAGGGGGTGCGGTGTTCTCGGTGAGAGTCCGGCAAGCTGAAAACAATCCCTGGAACCCACAGTACAAGGAGCGAACCGCTTCCAAAGTTGTCCTTTGACCTGCACAAACCCATGGCACAGCCAGTCCTCCCATCACAATGATAATAATTAATAATGACACAAATGAAATGGTTTATATATACACACCATAATATATATTATATACAAACAAAACCAGCTCAGGAGGGCCATCAGGATTCTGTGGTGCTTCTTATGCAGGGTGTGTGATGAGGGCTGAGTGAGCAGCCGGCCCGGTCCCTTAAGATGTCTTTTCTCATTCAGGCTGTTTATGCACAATTGTCTCCTCAGATCTGCTCATTCTGGCACATTCCCTGTTTTCCTTGTGGCGAGAACAAAACAAGCCCACGTAGTGTGCCGCCCATCCTCCTCTGGCTTCAGTGTATGCACTTCAGCACCGCCCACCACACGAGGTGTTGATCAGCACGTTCCCAGAACCCACCTCGTCACCCTGTGAGAAAACACCCTGATGGCGATGGCCTGGGTCTGGGCTTGGTTCCAGCTGCAGCCTTACATCTCTAGCAGTTGGAGTTGTCCTCCTTTCTCTGCTGCCTTTCTCCTTCAGCAAAGTTTCCTACTGGTATTTTATGCTTATGTGAATCATGGCCCATAATAAATGTGGGAGTCAGATGCCTGTGAGGACATCGTGCTGGATTTCACCATGACCTGTCCACTTCCTAGATGGTAGTTGAGGCAAACAGAACAGCTCCCATAGTAAAAATTTAGTCCTGAGGAATTTAACCATGGTTATCGCTGCTGCGATGTGATTGTTAAATCTCACTGATTTGGATAGTTTGAACGATGTAGACCGATTCTGCCACACATGCCCATCATCTTACAGGTTGACCAGGGAATGAGGACCGGAGCCTTGGGTAACCATAACCTGGTAACTTGAGTTCTGACAGCTCTGACACACTAGGCCGAGCCATTTATCCCCAGCACCCTAAATTTCAGAGGGAAGTAATGGAGTGAGCACGCAGGAGGTCTATCTATTCAAAGTGGCCATGTTTGTGAGGAGCAGAAACGGATAAAGGTGGCGGAAGGGAGGGCAGTCCAATGGCCATAGTCTATCTTCTAAGTGACCTCAAAGAGGTCATTTCAAAATGCCAGTGCTGCCCAACTGGCCTCGCTGTAGCTGCAGAGGGCAGAGGCCTGGGGTTTGCTAAGAACTCCGGTTTCTTACAAATACAAGTTTAAATATACTTTCTAACTGCAAGTGTGTGTGTGTGTGTGTGTGTGTGTGTGTGTGTGTGTGTGTGTGTGT